AACAGATATTTTCCGAAAATTGACGTTGGGTGCCCCTGTTTCTTTGATTACTTCGCACCGCTCCCCACTATCTGAACGCCTGGAACAGGCTACACGAAGTCTGCCCATACAAAAATGCTATGCGTCTTTTTAAGTTGCTTAAGCGTTGGAGCCATATTCGAAAGAAATTTCCGAGGCCTTATACTGTTTTAAGGGTGGGATCTCAAATCGAGTAGCAGAAAGGCGAAAGGGTTTGAGAATTCAAGAATTGTATCAAACTTGGAAGAAGTGCGTTTAAAGTTAAATGCAAGATAATCTCAGGTAGAGGTCTAAATTATAGTAATATTTTCATTTTTTCTGGCGTATTCATAATTGTTTGTTAATTCTAATTTAACGGAATTGTGTTGTCGACTTTTTCCTTTGGGTGGGTTGAACAATATAGTATTTGAAGTCATTTTATACGTCTTTGTCCGCAGGCTATGTTCAATATTAATGATAAAAAACGTCATACACTTTGGACTGGCCCTGTTCAGAGTAGGAAAATCTTGTTATTCCGCTTACCATAAATTGTCTCATACATCTTCGTAAGGGGTTTTAGGAGGGCTTATAAATAGGAGGGGTTACTGTACACTGCGAGGTAGAAAAACGTTTCGGAACAAGTTATAGATTAAAGTGCTTATCAAAATACGTTTTTGAATTTACTGGTTTTTAAATAATTCAAAACGTCGAACTCTCTTGGGGTTTTCAGGACTGGCTATAAACAATTCTTCTAAAAGTCTATCTACACGGCTCTTATGTAAAGCAGACTCTGGTCTAAGTAAGTTTGTTTTTTTAATCATGTTAATGTATTATTAATAGTAGTTTTAGATTCGTATTAGAAATAGTGTTTTAAGTCCTGATGAGTTGACCCTGTTTCATTAAAGTTATTCATTCTTTCATTCATAACTCTAATTGAAAGGATGCAAAAATTATTGTAATTGTTTACGGCAGAGTTGCATTGTAAAAACTACGGATAAATACGTCATTTTCAGCGACGACAGTTTGAGCTTGTAAACCAGCGGCGATATCACAAGCCTGTCTCGGCGTGAAGGCTAACAAACCCGATAATTGGGGGTGGAAGCGTAATCATGAATCATGAATCATAGTTACAAAACATGTAAGAATCATGAATCTTTGTACTTCGGCTCGGGAATCATGAATAAGGAGACTCTGAGAAAAGCTCAACAAAATATACGTATGAATTAATTGCGTTCGAACCAGGGAATGCAGGATATGGCGTTTCCGAGAGTCCAATTTTCAAAAACTTTTCCGGGGAACATGCCCTCTGACCCCCTATATAATTTATTGCATTCGAAGCTGACAGTCCGCTTGTTTCTTCAATAACCTTGTGCTTAATGTTCAGTTACGCAAAACTCCATGCCAAGGCAAAACGAATGATGATACCAAGTCTGAATGAAGCAGAAGTTTGAACACCAAAGAATACAACTGGGAGACTAAGTTGCCCCTGAGAAAATCATTAAATCAATAGGTGATCAGAAGCCTTCGTGAATCATGAATCTGGAGGAAAATTCTTGTAGGAATCATGAATCATTCAGCCAAAAACGACAGGAATCATGAATATCAAGATTGAAATAATTCCGCTTCTACCCTCGACGATAAGTGCTTTCTTAGCTCCCCGGGCCTCCAGGGAGCTTACAGACATGACAGAAATCGCTACATAAAGATTACTAAAGTCGCAATAGAATTATCAAAAACTATTGCGCCTAAAATCACCGCTACAGGAACCCCTAATATTTCTCTTTAAAATTAAATCAGTTATCAACGCCGCAAATTAAAGTCACGCTTCGTAAAACTAGGACCTTATAAGAGCCAATTAACTTTGGCTGGCCAAGCAGGGACTACTTTTTCTCGAAATGAATTGGCTTACAAAAAGCAGTTGTAATATGGGTCTGTTCTGATCTTAAAACAGAAGGAGTTTATTGATTTTTGAACACAGCAGGACTGAAAATAGTTATTGAGTTCATTTGCTGAAAGGAGGAGCAACTGATATCATTCTATTGTTTTTTTATTTACATATTTTTTTTTGCTGTTTTTTTTTCTTTATTCATTACTTTACTTCAATATGAACATAGTATTACCACTCAGCCATTGCCTTCTGGGTTACGTCAATATGACGTTAAATAACTTTTCATGATGGTGTAGATATTCTCAGGTTATAATCCATCCTGTGATCCTATAACCAGTTAAATTGTTCTAAACGGATGAACAAGAAGTCGGGCCGACTCGTGACCTCAAGAGTTTAATATAATTTCTTTAGATTTCAACGCGTTTGCGAATCGATTATAATAATATAAATAATAGCTAAAAACATGGCAAGAACAGCAAGAAGACAACTCGAAGGGCGACATCTGCTATTTAGGGTATATTTACCGAGCTGAACAACCCTAAACGTGCACTATCGAAGATGAACTCAACATCGATGGAGGTAAGCAGGTCTTAGCCATGTTTTTAAACTAGGAATTATTTATTGGATTCGGCTTTCGTATCATATGAAGAATTATGGAGATCTTGGAGGGTGTTATCCGCAAACCCTCTTCGATCTCCATAATTCTTCATAAGATACTCAGCCTCATTCATTAATTGTTTAATTCATTAATTCCCAAAGCTTTTCACTTATCCCCTATCCCCAAAACTATTTTGTAAAATTACCCTTGTCCCTTGAAATATTTCTCCACTGAATATCCCTTATCCCTAAAAGCCCTAACAAGCTCTCACTTTGAAAGTGATAGAACAAAATTCATCATATGTAAAGGAACACAAGTAAGACATGGGTCAAAAAGCTACTAAAAAACGAGGGGGTGGACTGTATATTCGCCCCGGGTTGGGTACTCAACAAAGGTTGATACGAAGAGACTCCGCCCAGACCCTTTTATATGTCATTTTTGATACAAAAGGTAACCCTTTCGTAAACCTTTGTATTGACAAATGGTACCTCTTTTACCTCTTTTAGTAACCTAGTTTAGAACTTTGCATACCTTTTGACTTCTGTAGATGAACTGTCTTGAAAATATAAATAAATCAAAAACTAGCAGAACGATTACTCGACGTTTTCACTGTCATAAAATGAATTTATTAGCCCTTTTGGGAAATGACAGATTTCCCTACTCTTTCACATACTTTATGATCAACTAGCGAAATCCTTACCCTTCATTTACCTGAAGCCTGAAAATTCGGTGCACCTTTCGAGCGGAGCCTCCCCGCATAGGCCATTCTTGGGAATACCCCACAAGATATCTGTAAGTGTTTACAGTGAAGTTTTTAATTGAATAACACATCAAAATTGAAGAAATGAAGAAATGAATTGGTCCCTGGTTGCATCTGGTCATGTTACTACGTGTGACAACGAACTCCTCATTAGTTCATGGAGCATGAGAAAACTTTTCACTGGGGGCAATAAAGCAAGGTCTGGAGCAATGCTCTTTCAGGCAACTTTGAAATGAATACTGAGGTATGCAATTAATGCTAAAGAATTAATTAATTAAGAATTAATTGAATTAATCAGTCAACGTTTACTGAAAAAAGTAAGTATTTTTAGAGGTAACGATCTTGTAAACTATTGATGCATCAATTATCTGATCATTTTAATTTAGGATGCCTGATTTCCTTCTAAAACATCGTTTTCAGTCAATTGCCATTTTCAAAGTTAATTATGGCATAGAAACGACGATACTTACTCAAGGAACCCAGTTACAACGAAGCCTGGCTCGGTCACTTGCCCCAGTCTTGATATATTTTATAAATGACCTCAGATTCCGGTCTTTAATTCGTCCGACGATGAATGAGGAGCATCCCTAGGCCACTCAAGCGTTCCTCATTCATTGTAGACGGTTCAACAATTTGAGACGTCTCAAAGCAGGAAAAGAGCGTTCGCAAGAACACTTCCCACGGGTTTAGTAAGAAGAATAGTACGGATCTTGTGAATGGCTGGAAATGTCTGAATAGGCTGAAGGCTGAATTTCCCACAGTTGCAGGACGTTCTTCAAAGGGAATATTTTCATAGTTCTTTTTCCACTTTTTCATTTCAACTGACAAATAGGTGGATTCCTGAATAGTGGGGAACTTCTTGTAATAATTGATAATTTCACTTTGATTACGGATTCCAATGCTCACTGCCATAGACAGTCTGTCTGCAAGTCAAACCTTGATGACTTTGTGAGAATCTGGCGCGACTTATTGGACCACATGCATGGTAAACAAATGGAAAGAACACAGTCACTTATTCTCTCTTTTCGAACCCCCACAATACACACTGTTTGCCCCCCAATTTTTTTCAGCATGATGTTGCTGTATGTTAGCAGTACGTGGTTTTCGTCATAGTGTTTCTTACAGCCTGAGCCATCATTTCAATCCCCAACCACAGGGTTTATTCAAAACGTATCTGTTTTATTGTCTTGAACGAATGTTTTCGAAATGTGACTATCTTTGTAAACTTCGCAAAGATTTCAACAAATTTCAGATTTTCTGCTCAACACTTCAGAAAAAGACAATTTTATTTCAACTTTTTGTTGTTTTGTTTTTGTGCGGGGTCGGGGAGGCATCTGCCCCTTGCCCCTCCACTCAGCTCCGACCAATTTTTTGCAAAAAAAAATTGAAGCTAAGCGGCTTGCAAGTGAATTTCTGCATGATATTTTTGGGCTCTTAAAGGAATTATGCTGTCGACCATATTATGTGGTGTTATGAGGCTAGTTAGTAAAACGTAAGAGAGAGCTCGCAAAAGAGGATTTTGTCCATTTCTAAGATCTGCTTCGTTGAGCATTAAGGCAACAAGTCAACCAGCAGAGAGTCATTAGTGTACAAATCACGATGGGCATGAATTTAACCCACGATAACAGTTTCCAAACTTAATTTAAACAGAGTAAATCCAGCATGAATACTGTGTTTCTTGATGGTTAACTAGCTGTTAACTAAAGGATCTACCGAGGCAAGGTGATTTAAGGTGCTTCCACTTGAGAGAACCGTTTTCATGTTTTCAGCTCCTCTTGGTTGTTTTGGGCGGGTGGTTTCTTTCTGCATTGCTTCTTAAATCTTTTGTTTCGAAAAGCGAAAAGAAATGGGTTGAGGGCAGAGTTAAGGTAACCAAACATCACAAATACAACTCGAACTTCATGAGGGATTTTAGCTTGACATGATTTACAAAGATTGGCCGTGATGCTGATGGAAGAGTGAGGAACCCAGCAAAAGAAAAACACCGCTACAAAGATGGAGATAGTCTTGGCCGCTCGGACGTTTCTTAAATAAACTCTCTTTTCTTTACTAGAACGCAGTGTTCGCGAATAGGCTTCCGTAGAAAGCATTTGTTGTGAGATCTCTTTATCAAAAGCGCTGCTTTGAGAGCGGGCTATGACGTAAATCTTAATGTAAATGCCACATGTGATTAGTGATGGGATGACAAAATTTAAACAAGAACTGAGAGTAGAGTAAATCTCTGTGAAAGGAAAGTAGCATATTCCCTCGTAGACAAACTCGTCAAATGCTCTCCAGCCCATGACGGGAAGTAAAGCAAAAACCAAACTGTAAAGCCAGATGACAGAAATGACGATTAAAGCTTTCTTTCGTGTCATGAATCGGAAGCGGCGAAATCGATTCAAGGGATCTTCAAGACTCTTGTAACGATCCACGCTCAAGGCCAAAAGCGTCAAAATGGACGTGGGTACAGTGATAAGGTAAACGGTAATCCACGCCTCGCACATCATTTCTCCATGCCTCCAAGCCCAGTTAAGGAAAAGGCCTTCTATGTCAAATGGTACTGCTAATGTTACAGTAAGAAGATCAGAGAACGCCAACGAGAAAATGAACAAATTTGTTGGGCTGCTTCGGAGACTTTTGTTAGCTATTATTGCGTAACAAACTATGAAGTTTCCGAGGGCTGCCAGTGCGACAATTAAGATGTGACACGTCGCCACTGGGTACACGAAGGAGGGAGGAAAGGCCGGTACTTTGTCGGTCCCTGTAGTGACTGGGTTGGGTTCAGAACTGTTGTTCATGGTAAGCTATACGTTTCCACGTCATGTTATATATCTTAAAGATGTGCTACTGGTGAGAGTTCTCTGCCGAGACTGGTCCTTCAGTGTAAGTGGGCGTCCTTTTTTATCGTAACATTTGTGCAGTGATTTATTTGACAAACATGGCGCCAAGTTGATGGTGTCAAGAAGTTTACCGTGCTTTGGCTCCTCAGTTAATTAGTTTAAGCCGCAGTAAATGAGATGCTCTTAAACCCTATTGCGGAGCTGAAAGCGAGAAAGAAATAGAACTGAATATTGATAAAACTGAGCGCAATGCGGAAATGAACGATTTTTTAAAGAAATGTCTCTTTCCTATCTAATTTCTCCTCACCATTTAGGTTGTATTATAGATACGGTAGTTACATATTTGGTCTTGTTCCCCCCCTTTTTATACGTTAAAGTTTTAAGATGTATTTTATCTATGACTTTTATCTACATCCTGGACAAGCTGCCTCTTAATAAAAAGAATCGAACAGATAATAAAATTTCTCATTAATTTAAAAAACTTAGAGTTTATTAGTAGGTTGAGTATGATCGTCCAGGTGAAGGTAGTCCTGAGTAGGAATGTTGCTGTTGACAGTGACTGACGTTTCGACAACCTGTGCGGTAGACATCTTCAAAGTCAAAGTAAGTTGTATCACATCAGTTGATCGTCTTTAACTCTGGTTGTTGATCTGATTGGTCAACTAAGTCGCGATGTTATTGGTTGTCTTTCAGTTAAGCTGTCATGTTATTGCCTATGAAGACTCGTTATTTTTATTGGTGTGTTTCGATCCGTCTATTGTCACAGTTAAACAGTCGTTTATTGTTAGTCAAAGTGTCAGTTGTCCAGTCGTTCTCGCGTAGTTAGTTTTGCTTGATTCCGTCAATAAGTCGTTTGTACGGTGCCGGTAACTGTTGACTTCGATTCTGTGGCGTTTGTTCTAAGTTAGTAAACCAGCTTTCTAAAGTGAGTCCTTGATAGTAGTATGTAGAATACGTAATACATATCCCAGAATCCAAGTCGATTTGATGTTTCGTCTGAACACAATCATACTCAACCTACTTATGAAATGACCGCTGGGTGCAAACCTTTAACACGTTGAGTTAACTTATCCTTAATTGAATATGTGCCTCAAACACTCTTACAGTATTACGCTTGACCTAGATCTCAAAATTGCTTTTATTTTTGTCATAGAACATACACTGAGTGGAATTAATCTACCGGATTTAACTATTTGGCGAGCGACTCACTGGACATTCGATTCGTCATTGTACTCTGTAAGTTTGCCTCGTTCTGGTACTGTGCACTTACTGTGATTAGAAATTAAGTAAGTGCGTTCGAGTATTCTTATAGGCCTTGTGTCAAACCAGTGGCTCAAAAAACATGGGAAATTGCTTTTCGGTACTTGAATGACCGCAACCGGGAAGAAAATACTTGGGTTTTAAACTTATGTCTTTTGGAGAGCCAGTGAAGTAGCCGGCCCAAAATTGCTGCAGCTTCATTATTTTCGGACAAAAGATCGAAAAGGAAAGCCTTCTAAACTTTAGCCAATGCAAGTACCAGTTGTGCGACCAGAAAAATGAGGGAACTAGAAAAGATGTACTACATGTTTAAAACTCGCTATTCAAGGAGACTGTTAATATCCATTCAGGATTCAGGTAGCAAACATACTTTGAGGTCGTTTCTTAAATAAACTCTCTTTTCTTTACTAGAACGCAGTGTTCGCGAATAGGCTTCCGTAGAAAGCATTTGTTGTGAGATCTCTTTATCAAAAGCGCTGCTTTGAGAGCGGGCTATGACGTAAATCTTAATGTAAATGCCACATGTGATTAGTGATGGGATGACAAAATTTAAACAAGAACTGAGAGTAGAGTAAATCTCTGTGAAAGGAAAGTAGCATATTCCCTCGTAGACAAACTCGTCAAATGCTCTCCAGCCCATGACGGGAAGTAAAGCAAAAACCAAACTGTAAAGCCAGATGACAGAAATGACGATTAAAGCTTTCTTTCGTGTCATGAATCGGAAGCGGCGAAATCGATTCAAGGGATCTTCAAGACTCTTGTAACGATCCACGCTCAAGGCCAAAAGGGTCAAAATGGACGTGGGTACAGTGATAAGGTAAACGGTAATCCACGCCTCGCACATCATTTCTCCATGCTTCCAAGCCCAGTTAAGGAAAAGGCCTTCTATGTCAAATGGCACTGCTAATGTTACAGTAAGAAGATCAGAGAACGCCAACGAGAAAATGAACAAATTTGTTGGGCTGCTTCGGAGACTTTTGTTAGCGATTATTGCGTAACAAACTATGAAGTTTCCGAGGGCTGCCACTGCGACAATTAAGATGTGACACGTCGCCACTGGATACACGAAGGAGGGAGGAAAGGCCGGTACTTTGTCGGTCCCTGTAGTGACTGGGTTGGGTTCAGAACTGTTGTTCATGGTAAGCTATACGTTTCCACGTCATGTTATATATCTTAAAGAAAAGCTACTGGTGAGAGTTCTCTGCCGAGACTGGTCCTTCAGTGTAAGTGGGCGTCCTTTTTTATCGTAACATTTGTGCAGTGATTTATTTGACAAACATGGCCCCAAGTTGATGGTGTCAGGAAGTTTACCGTGCTTTGGCTCGTCAGTTAATTAGTTTAAGCTGCAGTAAATGAGATGCTCTTAAACCCGATTGCGGAGCTGAAAGCGAGAAAGAAATAGAACTGAATATTGATAAAACTGAGCGCAATGCGGAAATAAACAATTTTTAAAGAAATGTCTCTTTCCTATCTAATTTCTCCTCACCATTTAGGTTGTATTATAGATACGGTAGTTACATATTTGGTCTTGTTCCCCCCCTTTTTATACGTTAAAGTTTTAAGATGTATTTTATCTATGACTTTTATATGTTTAATTTGAGTGAGCCTCACTATACAAAAACATTGCTTGCCTATCCATTATCTTAGGCTTTTGAACTTCGGTGGCCATCTGAGGAGGAAAGACCTCAAGCAGAGTTCATTTCACTGTAGCTAGGTATCAGCTGTGGTTCCAGTTCCTACTGTCTCCAATTGCAATGGCTGGCGTGCCATACATCACATTATTTTCATAACATTGTATACATTGTTTTTTCCTTTAATTAAGAAATAGAAGGCATATTTCTTGTTTCCTTAGTTTTAGTAGAAACTCAACAAGCACGTTCTGTTGGACAAGTGCAAATGTAATTGGCTCTCTTATCTGATAGAATACGATTGTGTACGTGCGGTTTGCTCATCATTTAAAGGCTTTACTTTTCTTGATTTTTGGCTTAAAAGGACAATCAGGAGATTCTGCCCCAGCGTTATTGGAAGATTCTTTTGAAATACTATTCCGTAATTAATCAAAGATAAACCATCTAGAAAAAATGTTTAAAAAAGCACTTTTACGCTGGTACCTTGCTCAAAACTAATGAAACATCATCTCTTTAATATGAAAAATTACAAGTTTTTTGTTATACGTAACTTTAAGGGGCATAATATTATTTTATTTAGACGTGCCCCTCTCCTCTCCTTCCTATATACATAAGTGCTGTAATTTTGTATAATACGTTTTCTTTCCTTTGTTAATTTTATCTGTTACTCGGGGTACTTTTTCACCTTTAATATCATAAGTGACGAATTACTCCTTAATTCTGGCGCGAAATTTCAGCGTTAATTTGTAATTTCACACGTGAAATTACAAAATTGCCATGGCAACCATTCCGTACGTCTCAGTGTCAAGATGGCGACGAAGTTTTAAAATGCCGTGAATGAAGATGTCAGGGCACAAAAAGACGTTTTAGAAAACCTGAACACACAAGAGAACATCAAGAAGGTATTTTGCCGAAAAAGTCTGAAAATTTTTGAACTTTATAAGCCAAATTTAAGGTCTAAACATTTGAGAGAGTGGAGTTCTCGATCGATACGATACAGGATAAACAAGTCAAAAATCCAAGATTGCTAATGTAATTCGTCACCCAAAATATTAATAGGTAATCAAATGGTATACTCGTGAAATAAGAGAATAATTTCACCTACGTTTTGTAATTATTCCCTAATTTCACTCGTCACCATTTGATTACACATACATATCTAATTATGTATTATCATCTGCACTAAGTTTGTTTGGAGAAACAAATAAAATGAAAAATGAAATGAAAAATTTGAAGGTTTTGAACTCTAATCCTTTAGAGTCTCCTACAGCAATTAGGTATGAAGGTCAAGACAGGATAGTAAAACCAGCCCAAAACAATTCAAAACTCAGAACACAGAATACAGCAAAAGTAATTTTAATTCTTCTCTACACGATAAGCTAAGAAAAGGCGATTATCACTTTTTTTCCCATTTCTTTTTGTCATATAAACCTTATAAAACGCTGCGCTTTGAGAGGCAGTCTCCCTAAAAGCGTTCTACTCGATTTCGGACTCGACAAAACTTTTGCCTTATATTTTTATCATCAACATTACTATCCATCCTAATAACAAAATTACAGTTAGAATTAGGAAATTGTTTATTTTACTGGCATTCCCAGCATTTCATTGTTGGACGACCGTTAGCGGCTAAAATATGCAAATTTTGGGTGCTGTTTCACAGGTTTTTAACGATCGTTTAAAAGTTCTTCGGGTCATCAAATCCTAGACTATTTTGTCAAGTTATGCAATAAAATTTGCGGCACATCGCGATTCCTGAGAAAAGAAAACTGATCGGAAACAGGTTAAGCAGATGATTAATATTAATAGTCTCGGCCGGCCGTCCTTTGTTCGACTCCCAATAGTTGACCTTCTTGGTAGTAAAGTGGGTCTGGAAAAATACGCATTGCTCCCTACCCCCACCCCCTCGCCCTTTTTCCTACCCGCGTCTCTCTGAGGGTCGCCCCTACAATCCGAACGCCTGGAAAAGGCTAATCGACATACTTCAGTCGCGTTCTAAACGAAAATTTTTGTTTTACAGATAACATTAATGAGTACCACGTTCTCCTGTCTAGTGACAGGTGGAAGTATTTACATTTTGCAGCTGGAAGGTCCTTCACACATTCACCTTTACGCTCTATATATATGAGACGAGGGTACACGGTAGTCCTTGAAAACAAATTAAGAAAATATGGACTGGAGTTCAACCGCTATTCACGTCTACGCCACAGTATCGTACTTAATCTGGCGCGACTTATTGGACCACATGATATCACATGGAAATAACACATCCCAGTCACTTATTCTCCATTTTCGAAACCCCTATAATACACTCTGTTTGCTCCCCAAATTTTGCACAAAACAATTGTTTTCAAATGCTCCTGGGAATACTGCCATTTCACAAGTGTATTTAGAAGACAATAACTTAATAATTTTTTTTAATGCAAAATTTGGGGAGCAGTATGTTGGCAGTACGTGGTTTTCGTTACAGTGTTTCTAACAGCCTGAGCCATCACTTCAATCCGCAACCACAGGGTTTTTTCAAAACTTATCTGTTCTATTGTCTTGAACGAATGTTTCGAAATGTGACTATCTTTGTAAACTTCGCAAAGATTTCAGCAAATTTCAAGTTTTCCGCTCAACACTTCAGAAAAAGCCAATTTTATCCCAACTTTTTTTTTCCGTGGGGCGTGGAGGCATCTGCCCCCTTGCCCCTCCACTAGCTACGACCAATTTTTTGCAAATAAAAAAAATTGAAGCTAAGTGGGCTTGCGAGTGAATTTCTGCATGACATTTTTGTGCTGTTATAGGAATTATGCTATAGACCATATTATGTGGTCTTATGAGGCTAGTTAGTGAAACGTAAGAAAGTGTCGTACAATCCCATGTGCTGTAAGAGAGTGCTCGGAAAAGAAGATTTTGTCCATTAAAAAGACCTGGAGCCCGTTTCTCGAAAGTCCCGATAATTAACGGGCCTGGTAAGCTGTCTCCGTTTACATTAAAGATCGAGGTTTCAATAGTTTTGCATCTAACATGATAAAACTGTCAGTTAATGAAACGAAATGGAGTAGTTTGCTAGCCTGGACCCGCGCTCTTATTCTTTATATTTCGAATTGAATATTTGATTTCGGGCCGTAAAGTTACCGGGACTTTCGAGAAACGGGCCCCTGCTTCGTTGAGCAAAAAACAAGCAACAAGTCAACCATCAGAGAGTCAGTAGTGTACAAATCACGATGGGCATGAATTTAACCCACAGTTTCCAAACAACTTAATTTAACCAAATTAAATCCAACATGAATACTGTGTTTCTTGATGGAATGGTTATAACTAGCTGTTAACTAAAGGGTCTACCCGAGCCGAGGTGATTAAGGTGCTTCCATTAGAGAGAACCGGTTTCATGTTTTCAGCTCCTCTTGGTTGTTTTGGGCGGGTGGTTTCTTTCTGCATTGCTTCTTAAATCTTCTGTTTCGAAAAGCGAAAAGAAATGGGTTGAGGGCAGAGTTAAGGTAACCAAACATCACAAATACAACTCGAACTTCATGAGGGATTTTAGCTTGACATGATTTACAAAGATTGGCAGTGATGCTGATGGAAGAGTGAGGAACCCAGCAAAAGAAAAACACCGCTACAAAGATGGAGATAGTCTTGGCCGCTCGGACGTTTCTTAAATAAACTCTCTTTTCTTTACTAGAACGCAGTGTTCGCGAATAGGCTTCCGTAGAAAGCATTTGCCGTGAGATCTCTTTATCAAAAGCGCTGCTTTGAGAGCGGGCTATGACGTAAATCTTAATGTAAATACCACATGTGATTAGTGATGGGATGACAAAATTTAAACAAGAACTGAGAGTAGAGTAAATCTCTGTGAAAGGAAAGTAGCAGATTCCCTCGTAGACAAACTCGTCAAATGCTCTCCAGCCCATGACGGGAAGTAAAGCAAAAACCAAACTGTAAAGCCAGATGACAGAAATGACGATTAAAGCTTTCTTTCGTGTCATGAATCGGAAGCGGCGAAATCGATTCAAGGGATCTTCAAGACTCTTGTAACGATCCACGCTCAAGGCCAAAAGGGTCAAAATGGACGTGGGTACAGTGATAAGGTAAACGGTAATCCACGCCTCGCACATCATTTCTCCATGCTTCCAAGCCCAGTTAAGGAAAAGGCCTTCTATGTCAAATGGCACTGCTAATGTTACAGTAAGAAGATCAGAGAACGCCAACGAGAAAATGAACAAATTTGTTGGGCTGCTTCGGAGACTTTTGTTAGCGATTATTGCGTAACAAACTATGAAGTTTCCGAGGGCTGCCACTGCGACAATTAAGATGTGACACGTCGCCACTGGATACACGAAGGAGGGAGGAAAGGCCGGTACTTTGTCGGTCCCTGTAGTGACTGGGTTGGGTTCAGAACTGTTGTTCATGGTAAGCTATACGTTTCCACGTCATGTTATATATCTTAAAGAAAAGCTACTGGTGAGAGTTCTCTGCCGAGACTGGTCCTTCAGTGTAAGTGGGCGTCCTTTTTTATCGTAACATTTGTGCAGTGATTTATTTGACAAACATGGCCCCAAGTTGATGGTGTCAGGAAGTTTACCGTGCTTTGGCTCGTCAGTTAATTAGTTTAAGCTGCAGTAAATGAGATGCTCTTAAACCCGATTGCGGAGCTGAAAGCGAGAAAGAAATAGAACTGAATATTGATAAAACTGAGCGCAATGCGGAAATAAACAATTTTTAAAGAAATGTCTCTTTCCTATCTAATTTCTCCTCACCATTTAGGTTGTATTATAGATACGGTAGTTACATATTTGGTCTTGTTCCCCCCCTTTTTATACGTTAAAGTTTTAAGATGTATTTTATCTATGACTTTTAGCTACATCCTGAACAAGCTGCCTCTTAATAAAAAGAATCGAACAGATAGTAAAATTTCTCATTAATTTTAAAAACTTAGAGTTAATAAGTAGGTTGAGTATGATCGTCCACGTGAAGGTAGTCCTGAGTAGGAATGTTGCTGTTGACAGTGACTGACATTTCGACAACCTGTGCTGTAGTCATCTTCAGAGTCAAAGTAAGTTGTATCACGTCAGTTGATCGTATTTAACTCTGGTGGTTGATCTGATTGGTCAACTAAGTCGCGATGTTATTGTTTGTCTTTCAGTTAAGCTGTGATGTTATTGGCTATGAAACTCTATGAAGACTCGTAATTTTTATTGGTGTGTTTCGATCCGTCTATTGTCACAGTTAAACTGCAGTGTCTACTGTTAGTCAAATTGTCAGTTGTCCAGTCGTTCTCTCGTGGTTAGTTTTGCTTGATTCCGTCAATAAGTCGTTTGTACGGTGCCGGTAACTGTTGGCTACGATTCGGTGGCGTTTGTTCTACGTTAGTAAACCAGCGTTCTAAAGTGAGTCGTTGATAGTAGTCTGTCGAATACGTAATACATATCGCAGAATCCCAGTCGATTTGATGTTTCGTCTGAACAATCATACTCAACCTACTTATGAAATGAAGTTAACTTATCCTAAATTGAATATATGCCACAAACACTCTTAAAGTATTACGCTTGACCTAGATCTCAAAATTGCTTTTAGTTTTGTCATAGAACATGCACTGAGTGGAATTAATCTACCGGATTTAACTATTTGGCGAGCGACTCACTGGATATTCGATTCGTCATTGTACTCTGTAAGTTTGCCTCGTTCTGGTACTGTGCACTTACTGTGATTAGAAATTAAGTAAGTGCGTTGAAGTATTCTTATAGGCCTTGTGTCAAACCAGTGGCTCAAAAAACATGGGAAATTGCTTTTTTGGTACTCGAGTTTTCTGATTCAAAGGTTTAAGGGGGCAAAGTAAAATAAGAAAAACTCAGCTTGAATGACCGCAACCGGGAAGAAAATACTTGGGTTTTAAAATTATGTCTTTTTGAGAGCCAGAGAAGTAGCCGGCCCAAAATTGCTGCAGCTTCATTATTTTCGGACAAAAGATCGAAAAGGAAAGCTTTCCAAACTTTTATTTTTTTTTATTTTTTTATTATTTCCACAACAAGTATTGACATACATTGTAGTAGTACATATAGTAAAATAAAATCACAAACTTTAACCAATGCAAGTACCAGTTGTGCGACCAGAAAAATGAGGGAACTAGAAAAGATGTACTACATGTTTAAAACTCGCTATTCAAGGAGACTGTTAATATCCATTCAGGATTCAGGTAGCAAACATACTTTGAGGAGTGCTTTTGCCAATGGAGAAACTTTACTTTAAGCCTGTTTAAAAATTGATCTTACGCTGACGGTATTAATACTCATGATCACGAAGGCGGCTATTTCTACTCATCATCTGCCAGTAGGCTTCATGGACAATTTACTTACCTCAAATTTTATTCACCACTAGTTTGACCTGACCGAGAGCGTTCCCATTCACTTCTTAACTGTATAAAACAAAATTGGCCGAATATCTAGGACTGTGAGAATGTTTTTATGTTTTGTTCGATGACGCAAATATCCACGACAGTTTAAACGCAAAGATAGAGTTAATAGGTAAGTGAGTAATTAGAAATTGAAATTGAGACACAGAACGACTAGCGGCGCCAGTTTATCGCGTATTAATAAAAAATATTTGATCAAAAACAACAGGTATCACATCGTTTTTAGCATGACCATCGACTGCCCTTTTAAAAAGTCACGATATCTATTTGTAGTTATTACGGTCCTGTCTTAATGAACGTGAATTACAACGCAAAGTGGCAACTACAGTTTATTTCGAAGAATGTAGTTCATTACCGTGTTTACTGCTGAAAGTGCGCTGTCCTCGAATAAGCGCCAAACCCTCCCAGCAACAGCGCTTGGTAACTTCATAGTTCAGTTTGATATTTGTCAATGAGCTTTTGTTAACGACGCTTATTCGACTACGTACTGCAGCTCCATAACTGATGTGTAAAAGTCAACTTAATGATAACAAAGAATATATATATATATAGTTATCTGATTGTAATCTTATTCTTTCTGTGGATGGCCCGAAAACTTAAATTTTTAAAAAAACCTACTCATTAGCAGTCTATTAGACCACTAAGGATTGTTTAATCCTTCGGACACAAAGGCAAAATGCGAATCACGAGATCCAACGAAAGCTGAGGCTACAACCCACTAGGTTATCCAGTCAAATTCATATTGTAAGAGACAAATCCCTGGAGGGGATTTTGCCAGAGGAAGGCGCTGGCACATTTTTCCACGGCACGATTTTAAACATATTAGGCGTCGTTGATATGCCATTGGAAGAACGCCCTTCTCTCGTCCATCAAGGCTTTTCAGTGAGAAAATTCTCTTTCGTGAACAACCATTTAAATGTGGAGAAGACCTGATGCAAAAATTGATGAATAATTATGCGATTATTTTAGAGTAACTAGTAAAAGCTAGCTACTTTAAGTAAGCCCCTTGGCCAATAATGAAAAGTTCCCCGACAGTTAACTTGACCTAATGCTGTCCCTTGCTTCCTAATTTTACGCCCTTTGCCTATGCTATAGCATCCGCTACAAACTCCTCTCTGTGGGAAACCAAAGGTTCCAAAAATCATTGTCTTTTGTTTGGAAAAATTGATAATCTAACTAAAGATAAGCGAATTTTCATGACTTACGTCTTGTGTGCTGTTATCAGCTGTCCCTTATCTTCTGTCTTTCATGTGTCTATTTTGCTTCTTATTTGTTTTTTTTCTTCTTTGATTGCTATCTTACGTGGGTACAGGTAGCTACGCCCCCGAGAATTACTTGTAATGATAAAATTAACAAGAAAAGGAAAAAATGCTATTTGATGGAAGAGCTTTGAATAGATTTATTGAGAATGAACCAAATTGCCTTAACTCCAAATATTCTAAATCTATTTATTTCGTCAATTTCTTTTTTTACCCACGTATAATCAAAAAGTAAAGAACAACATAGAAGTACACATTCATAGTCAATATCTTAATATAAAGACTAAATGATGATGACCTGATTGACGGAGATTCTCTGCAGTGATTTAACAGAGAAAGAAAACTGGACTTAGACTGATATACACTTGATGGCCCAGATGAATCATGAATTTATTGCAAGAAAGGTTAGCGGTTACTCGTATTTAGTGAAGCGGCTTTCCGGTGAAAATTTCTACAATGAAAGAAAAGAGGATGCAAAATAAACATTGGTTGACAAAGGACTACAATCTCTAAAGCAAAACACAAACTGTTCCAAAAGTCAGTCAAGTCTTCGACAGCTGGGAATAAATTTGAATTTAGAAGGTATATACAAAAATAAACTTCACGCCTGCTCAGAATGACCCAAAAAGATGATACAAACAAAGGCTAGACATAGGTCTTCTTAATAATAAAGTTATAAGCGTTCTAAACAAGGAATAAGGGATGATGAATATTAGGGACCCTGATACAGAGGATGAAGTAGAGAAGGAATTACTTCCTCCAAATCCAGA